TAAAACATAAGAAATTGAATATAGATTTGTATCTTTACTCACAGACATTAGCAGAAGGTGGGCAGATCAATCCAAAATATCGATAATATTGATGCCAAGTTGGTATCAGTATCGGATTGATGCCAAGTTAAAAACTTTAGTTTGCATTTTGTTTATTTAGCAAACACAAACACAAATAATGTTAAAATGTTATTAAAGTATTTTGCAGACACATAAACTTTGTACAAATTCTCTCTCAGCTTTGAACAAAATAACTGAGTGGAAAAAAAAGTCACAAAAACACCTGAAGGTCAGAAGTTTAATGATAATAAAAAGTATCGGTGCCAGTATTGGCGATACAGGCCCTGCAGATACTTGGTATCGGATGGATACTAAAATATGCAGGATTTATTAAATTAAATAAATTTATTAGAATAACCAAAAGAGAACTGAGAAATATCCTTAAAAACAAAGGATTTAGTTTCTGCATTTTGGGAGAAAGACAATGAAACATCCAAGTCTTGGTACTTTCATCTTTACTATCTTTAAGCACCTGAGTTTTTATGTTTATGTAGCAAAACATGATCAGGGAAAATGCAATCAGTCTATATATCTAATAAATATTATATTTATCTGCTAATCAGTAATCTTTAGGCTTTTTCTGACTTTTTTTCAGACATTCAGAAACAGCAAAAATCCTCCATAATGAAATGAAACCTCAGATGTAAATAATAATGATGGTAATGATGGTAATTTAATAAATAAATTACTTAAATTACCAAAGAACGGTGTGATTGTAAAGGTAAAAAACATGAGAATCTCACAGAAAGAAGAAAAAAATGGAACATTGATGTGTTTTTTATGTGCTGCTTTAGTTTTAATCGATAGCTGAAAAGGATTTTCATAATAAAAGTCCATTTAAACCACTTTGTATATAAATCCACTACAAAGGATGTATTTAAAGTTTAAACAGCAGCTGTAATGAGAATCTTTCTGCTACTGATTGTACATCTTTGAATTCACATTTGATGTTTGAAAGGTTGTAACTTAACATGTGTTTAAGTTTGTAAACCCAAGCTTTGTTTGGCAGAGGTTTTAACTTTGTGCATTTAAACCCGAGAAAAGACACAAACATTTTGAGCTGCTAAGTTTTGTTTTGCTCCATTCTGCATTAAGTGCATCATGGAACCATTGTTGGGTTTTAACAATCAGTTCTGCTCCAAAATCAACACAAAGCAAATAAAAGGCAAAATGCAAACCAAAAAATACATACCGTATTTAACTATACAAATGCAAGTCCTGGTTTATTTTTTGATTGTTGGTTGTTAAAAACTGAATCTTCAGAAAAACATACTTTGGTTTCCAACAACAACAACCTGCAATTCTCTTAATTTCATATCCATAACAATTTAAAGTATAGAAGGCCCAGAAAATTTACAGATGCTGTTAATTAGAACACATTTTTTCCTGTTACACTTATTTACAGGAAAAACACAACATTTTTCTGACTTTCTTACAAAATAACTATAAACTACATATTTTGGGGTTTTGAACGACTATAGTCAGACAAAGCAAGGGGTCAGCCCTAACTTATGCTAAATAAACTTCCTATTCTCAAAAGACTGTATTACATCTTGTATTACAAAAAAAGTCAATATGTTCCTTTTTTCTTCAGTGGCAAAATAATGTCTACCATTTTTTTAAATATTCCAGCTTTTAAATCATGACTATTATGAACATTGGTTGATTTAAAAAGCAAAATATTTTAGCAAAAAATGAGCCAGTTTGCAATATGTTTTCATAAATATAAGCGACTTATTGAGTAAAAAACAAAAATCTATCCATTTATCTATTCTAACAATTTGCAGGGGCTAAACTAGGATGTGCTAACTCATAATATCATCTATTTTTGGCTCAAATATATATTTTGTTATTTAATCAGACATAAATTTGATCCTCCCACCATAATGGTATTTCTAATAAAACTCTGGCTTTTGGTTTAGTTGTGCCACCTTAAGGTCCTTAGCGCCCCGCTGGCCCTTTAAAAAACTCTCTAGACGCGCCCCTGGTAAAAACCACAGGTTGTTCAAGTGCAACGTCTCCACCTATAAAAATTATGATAGTTTCCTGTTCTGCAAACTGGGCCTTGATGTAAACATATTATCTTGATTAAAATTCCCCTTTATAATTTTTGTCCTTATTTTCTGATATTTCATTTAATATCATGAGCAGAATTCCGACTCAAATATTCAGTTTGTTTTCGAAATAGGACAACTTATACGCATTTTCACATCTGAAACATTTTTTTTTTTAATCTATTGGTATTTAAGAATCACTATCAATTACAGGGAAATATTTGACTTACTGAAGTATGTATTTTAGTCGCCCCATGGACCTTTTTCACCTAAATAAACAAAAACTACAAACGATGACTCAGTAAAGGCGCATGCAAGCGCGCAGGAATGGCGCAAATGGTGCGTGAAATCCCAAACGCGGCGCCATATGCTCAACTGTCTACCTCTCTGCACCTCTGCTTGATGTCGACAAACAAGAGTTGATTCCTCTTTTGGGGGCCTCGATGCTTGCAGAAAAAATTAAGGGTCTTGCTTTCTTAGGACAACAGAGTTTGTTTTTGGGAAATAAAAAAGTTAACCTCAACATGAAATAACTTAGCAGGATTTACTGCCAACAAAATAAAACATTTATTGGTCAGATGGTGGAAACGGACTCAAGATGAGGCCTGTAAGGAAAAGTGATCGAAATTTGTGTTTAACATTCAAAGATAAACATATTTAAATTAAAATCTCTAGAATATTCTCTTGTTATTAATTTTGCGCAGAACAAATCTGACACTTCTCATCTTCAAAATCAACTAATTTCATTTCTCCCGCCTCTTTGTTCCTTTGTATCTTTACATCTTAAGCAAAGTGAGGATTTGCTTCGTGCAGCTCCTCCTGCAGTTTTGGCTGACATGCGGTCTGGACGTGCACGGATCCGCCGCATGCAGCGCGCTCCCTCTCTAACGACAGATGATGAGTTTTTAGCGCTGCTCAGTGAACTGGCCCCCGGGGCCATTTGTCACAGGCTGTCCAGAAACAACTCAAGCATGGAAATGAATTTGCTCATTCACATAAAACAGCCCGCGTCAGCCATACTGAACATGCAGCACAGTAACAAACTGCGCACCGCACGTTACGCCCAAGCTGCGGGACATTTCCGTGCGTGGATTTGTACGAAGTTTTTTTTTTTTTTTTTTTTCTTTTAAAATAACTCATTCACCATGTCTCACATTTTAAGCAAGTGTTTTTCTATCAAATGCGTGTAAAATTGGAAATTATTCTGTGGATATTGAGCTATTGTCTCACCTTTGTAATTTTAAGGAATACATCTTCGCGCTCTTCTCGTCTATCAGATGGGATTTCTCTGAATTAGTCGGAGGATTATCCATTTTTATAAGTTCAGACTTATATTTTCTAATGTAAAAATATTTCTTCCACCTCCTTAGTCGAGAATCCGATTTCCTCTGATTTTCAGTCGACGCAGAAAGTCAGCCAACACCTCATATTCTGGGATCTGTAAGTCTTCAGGACAAATCCGTAAATTCCTTCATTGCACCGCTGAAGCACAAAAAAAAAAATAAAATAAAAAATTTTGTTTAGTTTTCTGTGAGTTTTTTTTTATTTTTTTCCTTTTAAAAGAAAAAAATCTTGCTGGACTTGAAGCCTGTAAAGAAAAAGCTGCAGCAGGACTGAGGAGTGAGGCTCGGCGCGCTGCAGCTGCTGCTGCTCCTGCAGAGTCTGACTGATCGCAGGACACCTGAAGTTAATGGGACAGGCGTCAGCATGCGCGAGCGTCACTTCTCCACACTATGATTGGACAAAAACACATCAAATCTACATTCAAAATATTTATTTAACAAATTGCACAAGTGGTACAAATAATTCAAGTAAATCTGAATTACATTTATATCTATTGTTCCATCCAATGCATGTCATGCTGCAATAAACTTAACCCTTTTTTTCTTGTTTCACCTTGTTAAAACTAAAACGTGAAGGGTTTAAAGTATATTTTCAATTTCAGTTAGAAATTGTATCAAATAACCATTTGATACAGATCGGCCTTATTGATTTATGTGTATAAAATTATAATTGCATTGCATGAGTAAAAACATTTTACCAAATGTTTTTATGCCTTTTTGAGATATCAATGCTGTTCTTACCGTTGATTTCCTGATCACTCATCAATCAGTCTTAATATAAAACTCACTCGCAATCATTCTTACCAAATCAAAAATCAATTTAAACCTAATAATATGATTAAGCAACTACCACATTATCATACAATAGACTACAATCTAAACCAGTTTTTCAAAGTAAGGCCCGCGGGCACATGGAGGAGCACTAGGAGGCGCTGTGGGACTCTCAGAAAGTTGGAGGGAAGATGGAAAAAAAAGAATACCATAATGGTTTTTGTCTTTAATTTATCATAATCAATTTTGTTTTCTATTATTAAATCATCTTTAAAATAAAATGGAAGTTAAAATAATTGATTTAAATGTTATTTCTGATTACCATTTTCAGTCAATTTCATCAAGCTGCTTTGCTCTTCAAGCAAGTGTAGCAAGTAAGAAACTGAAAAGCTTCTGACAAGAAAAAGGTCAAATGAGAATTTCTTTTCTTCTTTTTCCAGCCCTATCAATTATGGAGTCTGGATAGTATTAATGTGTTTATTTATTGGATATAGCACTTCTTTAAATTAACTTATATTAAACTTAGACCTAATTAATATAAAACCTGAGTCAACTGGTTGTTTTGTAAATGTTCTTTATAAATGAAATTGATTTGATTTAACATCAAGTGCAGCTGGTACAAATGTAAAACTTTCCCAATAACCTCTCATACATTTTTATGTAGAATTTATTTTAACAATATCAAAATAATGCAAGTTGTCATGATGACTGCTATAATATAAATCTACGAAATAAATAGAGATATGACGGTTATTTGTATGTTACAATGGTCTGCCTTTTATTATTAACGTTTCTATCGCATACTCGATGTAGTTTACAAAAGAAATGTGGCCGAAAGTCTTTTGTTTGAAAACTCTTTAAATTGCCTTTTTGTTCTTGTAGTTATTAAAGTACGAAAGCTTTCATAATTCAATGTGCGTAATGTATTTCAGTCTTGCAGTTGAGGTTAAGTTACCGACGTTCTGCGAGTTCCACAAACACAACATCACTTTACGTCTTCTGACGTCATCACGCACCCAGTGTTTAGTTTCCGCGCCGAGCCGTTATGGCAGCAGCGATTATCCTCGACAGTAAGCCGGGCGAGCAGCCGACAGATGGGGGAGAGGACGCGGATAGGTCGATGTTGAGGACCGACAGGTGAGAAAAGCCTGTCGGGAGGATGGAGTGCCTGCTGCGGCTGTTGGATCCCTGAACGGATCGCTTTAATCCTGCTAACGCAGCTAGCTGGCTAGCTTTCCTTCTCCGTCAGATCCACGCATTGTGTCAGCGTGGCTGCTGGGAGAACAAAAGAAGCAAAAAAGACAAAAAAAAAAAAAAAAAAAAAAAAAAAAAAAATTTAATATCACTGCAGATATTCAACAAGGACGTGGTGATTTTTTTCATTTTTATTCTTATTTATTTTTATTTTTTTATGAATTAATTAAAATTCTTGGCCATCTCAGAGTAAATGCGCTTTGAGTTTTGTGCCTGGTTGCAGTTTCAGTTTTAAAATTAACATTTCATTCAATTCAATTTCTCTTCTAGAAAAACAATGTTGCTTTACCTTACAAAAAGCTGAATGTTTTCTGGTAATATTTTTACAAATAAATGTTGATGTTCTTCCTTTGAAGCTTGTAGTCATGTTTCTTAATTCACTCCACTGAAAGACAGCAGCATTTTTCTTTTTTTTATTTACAAAATCATCAGCACCACATTTATTGAAACTCCATAATATCTTTCAAGGTGCTGTGAAAAAGTATTTACCTCCTTACTTTTTTGTTTCAGATCAACTGAATTATAATCAGACAAAGGTGATCTGTGTAAATAACCACTGATGCTGTCATCCATTAGAGAAGGCCTGGACATTAAGGCTGAATAAAAGCATTTCATATGAGTCGATATATAGATAATTATTGATGATTATTTTTGTTTTAAATATCTGAAATTTTGCCAAACTGGTGGAATGGCCTTTTCTTTTTATCTACAGTTTTCACTCCACACCATTGTTTTCTTCTTTTTAAGCAGTTATGGTTTCACAGTGAACTTGAAACTGCTGCTGTGCAAGTTACTCAGCAGGTTGTTGCTAGGTAACCACAGATTGAGTGAGTAGGCTAGCTTAGCTCATTGTGAGAAGTTGAGAAGGTAAATCACTTCCTCTGCTTACATCTCCCAGAATGCCGTGGGGTTCTGGATCGGAGTTAAGTGAATTTTCCATATACACATTATTATATCTGATGCATTGTCTATTGACACTGATCACATGCAGTAGACACTATCTACATATTAAGAGTAATACTGCATTTGTCCTACCAACCCAAATATAAACATCGGGAGTTTAATTAGAACATGTGCTTTGGTTTTGCTTGTTTCTCTTCCAAAGAGAGAAACTTTTAACTGAAGATTAGTGCGATAACTTTCCACAAACCGAGCCAAGTGATGACAGCCTTACTCATGTGAATGGTGGCCTCCCCACTCGATATCACGCTGTTTCCTGGGCAACGGTGTGTTTTCCTGGGGAGGATCAGCAAGTTCTCCTGTCCTCTCCCTCAGTCACACCGATACCAAAGGTCCGACTGCGGAGAGTCCTCACAGAGACATTCCAGTGAAAATGTTTCTTTCTTCCTCTCTGCAGAACAACAATTTATGTGCAAGTCCACAATTTTACAATGTTGTAATATCAGCTGAACTTGCATGTACTTTGTAATACTTGAAATGCCTGTAAAGGAGCAGCAGGGGGTCACATATGAACCAAAAAGGCATCTCTGATGGCAAAAACATCCCATCCTATCCTCTTAGTGAACTGTACAACGACTGATAATGTTTTGGCGAGCGGTCTGCTTATCGATGCCTCTCCCTCTAAATGCAGCGGGAGCGGAGAAGATTCCATGGACGGTCTCTCCAACCGGGTCCCCTGCTGTCCTCTGACCCCATCGCTGTCGCCACGGAAACGGACCACGAGCCAGTCCAAGACAGAGCCTCCGCTGCTGAGGACCAACAAGAGGACCATCTACACCGCCGGCAGACCACCGTGGTACAATGTCACCGGGACCACCTTCAAAGAGGCCTTCGTCATCGGTGAGGGAACAAACGCCATCTGCTTCATAAACCAGAGTTCTCCTGGTGGTTGGTTTGTTCTCCAACTCCTACATCGTCACCTAAGACGCATTTAAATATGCTTAAAATTAATAATTTACGCAAATATTTAGTACTTTTCTTATAAACTACAATCTATGCACCAATCCGGTCTTAATATCTGATCAGGTATCAAATCTATTCAGTCTAATTCAACAAGAATTAAACTGAATTCTAGTTATTTATTCTACATTATATTTGAAATTCCTAATTGCACTTTCTGAGCCATTTAAAATAAGGTTTGTTACAGTTTTTTACATTTTACCGTAGTCAAACTGGAGATTTTATCATTTTCTTTTATTTTACTGCTAATTGCACTGACGATTAATCGATTACTAAATTAGTTACGATTATTTCAATAATCGATTTATCACAATTAATTTGATTAATCGTTTCAGTCTTAGAAGGAAGTTGCGCTCCTGTCTTCTTCAGAGGTTTTTGTGTTGTTTCCTGTGGTGGTTTTTGGTGCAGTGCCCCCACAGGCGAGGAGGGGAACAGGTTTTTGAACGGTTTGGTTTGTTTGACGGAGTTCAGTGTGAAAGTGAACCGCAGTGAAAATGTAACATATCATGTGTGAAAACAGTCTAATGTTTTTTATTGAGGCTGATAAAACCTTAACATTTCAGTTTTATTTTCCTCACAGGTGTCAAACTCCAGGCTTTTAGGGTCGGTGTCCTGCGTAAACCACATACATTTCTCAATAGAAGAATCTCAGTTTTCTTCACGTTGAGTTTCAGAATAGATAAACTGAAAAACCTCTGTCATGCTCAAACCTTTTTTTCTACAGATGTAAGTTTAGCAAACCGTAATCTAATGGTTTCTTTCTGTATGAGCCTTTATGGCGACACATCATGCTGATCTGCACAGTAAAACATCCGAGTCAGCGAGCTTCCCAGCAGCTGTGGAGTGAGCTCCAGGTGTGCGTGTTTGACATCCACGGAGCGCCGTAGCGTGAATAAACTCATCAGACCGGCGTGAGCGGCGGGAAGGAGAGGCGGACGTTCTCCTCAGTCTGCAATCTGTTATCGCCAATGGAGCGTAGTGACTGGTCCCAATTTCACACACGGCTGAAAGGAGCAGCGGAAAACTGGTCAGACTTTCGCTGAGGAAGATGTAGTAAAATTTGGTGCAAGATGGAGAGGGGAGCGAAAGAGGGAAATAATTACGACTAAAACCATAAAATGGGAAGAAAATAAAAGAAATTGAAATGAAAGGAGGTAAAACCTTGTGTCTGCCATCTTTTTTTAACAATTGGGTTTTTATTGCTAATAGAAAACAGGGTTTGTTGCGTTGCAGCAGAGCAGCTTTCACAGCTGGGTGACTTTAAAACATGTTTAGATGAAATAAAAGGAAAACGTGTTTCTACAACATCCCCACAGCTGTACTTAAAGATAAATACAAGCAGCATTTGTTTAGTCCAGTAAAATAAGTGTTTTGCTAAAAGTCACTTATTTTCTGTTACATATTTGTATGTAATTGTAATTATTTTGTAGAAATCCGTTTTATTTTTCTTTGTCAAAAAAAGCCACATTTTGACTGATTTGTGACAGCAATAAATACTGTACATACTGGTACACCCATATTTTATTTTTTGAAGTGATATGGCTTAAAAAATAAAATCTCAGATTTTTTTATACCAGATTCAATTTCCAATTTTAATTGATTTATTTTTTTTCCCTCAGTTGTTTTTAGAACAAATATACAAATTACAGAAATCTTTTTTCACATCACACGAGTCACATAATCAGGAAGTAGTTGGAGGATGATGGTTTTTTAAATGACATCACATGAACAAACTTTATTTGTGTTTCTTATGTAATGGAAACAACACAGTTGTGAAACTTTTTTTTTTTACATTACCAGAATATTGACAAAGTTTTGCATACATTCGTAATGGAAATGCAGCCAATGTCACACCGTTCTGCGCTAAACAGCACAAAGGAACATTGAAAGTCTAAGGAAATTCAAACTTTAGCGAATTTAACCTCTAAAAATCTCTCATCATACCAGTTTGCCATATCTGGTGTCTGTTGCTGCAGAACAACTGTAAAAAGAAGTGATATGTCATGAGTATATGATGAAAGTGTATTTAATTAGTTCTTGAACTAGTTTAGCATTTTTCTAGCAGCAGTGCTTTTCCACGTTTGTCTTCATTAATTAGAGCCGCTGCTGTTTGTGCTTTGTGCTCCTGCAGGTCTGTGTGGAGGAAGCGCATCAGGAAAAACCACAGTGGCCAATAAGATCATCGAAGCTCTGGATGTTCCCTGGGTGGTTCTGCTGTCCATGGACTCCTTCTACAAGGTGATTACTCTCTGCGTAATTAAAAAACAGAACCACAAGCTTTGATTCATAGGGTCTTCAGCAGTAAATTTGCAGATTCACTCTGAGCAATAAGACGCATTCGATAACTGTTTACCCCCAGAGTTCTCTGATAGTTCATTAGCTTTTGATTTGAAAACAAATGCAGATCATAAATCATATTCCACTGAATTGATTAACCTTCCCGCCCCTTTGCTGATTTCAGCAAGATGAACTGAAATCGATGATTTTTGGTTCCTTTCTTACTTGCTTCTAACACCAAATTAAAAATGTTTGTTAAATTTGTCCCTTTAATATGTGACTAAAGGTTACAAAGAGGAATATTGAAGGAAAAACATGCTGAATATTTGTGCAGCAGTTCCTGCAGCTCAAGATTAAACAGTCATTGACTGTGTTCAATATTAGTGTTTTATGATATAAAGCACTTTGAACTGCCTTGTTACTGAAATGTGCTTTACACATAAACTTCATTGATTTATCTACAATGCTGAGTTCTATTTTTTATTTTTTTGTAAATATAACTATATTTTCATACTTTTCAGGTTTTTAATAGAATAATTTGCTTTCAGTTTCCAGTAGTGTTTGCTTAGACTGCTCAGTTTGGAAAATATTTAGTTTGTCATAATTTTCAATCAAATGTGTGACAGAGTATGAAGAAGAATAAAAAAAATGGAGAATAAAGTAATAAAATTACAAGAATAAAATTGTAATGTTATGATTTTGTAATATT